TAAATCTACCCCTTAAAGGGGTCGGAGCACAACTAGTTTTCATGCATTTTAGCGGTGCTTAATTAGACATACTTCTCGATGTTGGATTTTAATTTTTAAAGTATGTGTGGATTTGTTGTCAAATTGTCTGGGTTTCTTAGGAAGCCCATTTTTTATTTAAAATTTTATGCCTAAAATAAATTCAAATGTAATTCGGGAATAAATTATCATTGAATTTTCAAAAAAATAATTTTGGAGATCTTCAAAAGAGAAAATTGCAAATTGCCTTCCTAAAAAACCTAGACAATTTGTCGAGAAATGCATACATATATTAAAAATTAAAATCCAACATTGGGAAGTATGTCTAATTAAGCACCGCTAGCAGATGATATTTACCAATATAAAGTTAACAACATTTTTATTTTAACGTTGTAACTTACTTTAATTAATAATTATTAATAAATAAACCTTCTGTTTGTAAAACCCACTTTACTTAAGCTAGGATTAAATTTGATTGATAAATTCAGAATGTTTTTAATCTCCGATTAATCTTAAACCGAGATTAGATAAACGACATTTTAACCGCCGAATGATAAAATTGTCCTTAACACTATATTGAAAATTTATCTTTTTAATAATAATAACAATAATGTATTTATAATAGTAATAAATTTACGCTAATGAGGCAATTTACAATTTGTTTACAACAAGTTTTACAATAATTTATTTAAATATGTACAACAATATGAAATAAACTTGACAAATGATTTACCAATTACCACTAAAATTGTAGAGAAAAATAAAATAAGTATAAAAAACTTGTAGAGTTAATAGAAGACTATAAATAAAAAATGTAAATAATAAATAAGCTAAGTTAAAAGTGCTTATTGAGAGCACTCAAAAAGCCAACATTTTGAATTGAATTACACGAGTTATAATTCGGTTTACTGGACCGAGATAAATTTGTCGTTGTGTAGAAACGTAAAATTGCGTATAAAATCGTAAACTAATATTTAGTACAATAAATGAATCCAATCATCATTTTTCAGAACAGTCTTAAATTTATATAATTTATGATATAGTTATTTATTTATATGATATATTTAAAAATATATCATTTAAATTCTATCAACATAGTATTTTACAGACGATTCAACAATTGGCTTTATTTTCTTAAAACTTTAAAAAGTAAAAAATATAGGAATCGTTTCTGGATCGATTTTACAGAATTAATAAAGAGACTATGTTATAATTCAAAATAAAAGCATATTCAAGGACTGACCTAACAAATTTTAGTAGGTTTAATGTGATTTATGCATTTTGTATTGTTAACAATTAACACAGGGCCGGATTTATGGAGGAGTGGGGCTCCCGTTAGGTTGTTAGGGGGGGGGGGGATCATCATTAAAATTGGTATGAGCGTTAAAAAAAACAATACCAAGTAACATTTTGTAAGTTTTACAAAAGACAACATAATATAAAGTTAAAATGAATCTCCATGACACGCATATTCTTTATAATAATTTGTTATTTACAAAATAAATGATTATAGAAATGATAACATTTTACTGATACTTATTATTTTCAATAATGAATATTATAATAATAAATTTAAAAATATTAACAATTTAATAATATTTTAATTGTACGTCGGTGATTCATTTTTGTTTACAACAATTTTTGTTTTAGAAATTAGATTATATGTAGATATAATAACCTATACAAATTCTCTATAATCTATATATTTTAGATTCTGTAAGATTTCTCATTTTAATTTTGATAGAATTATTATTATAAATAGTAAATACATAATCATATACAACGTGATTGCCACCACCACGTACATTGTAACACGCAAACGACTAATAAAATAATTTTATTTTCAGAAATTAATAATATTATTAAAATTATCTGTTTTGACAACAAAAAAAAAATAAACCAAATATTTATAATCCTAACCAGTATTAAAATTATAGGCTAAACTGTACTTAAATTTTACCCAAACTACTATAAACGGCCGTTAATGATATTTCCTAAGTACTAAAAATGTAATAATTATTTATGAATGATTTTAAAAATCTCAAATATATATATTATGCTTAAAATTTGTTTGCTCTAACCTCGACAGAATATTTAAAAAATAATTACACTATCTAATCACTAAATGGGATAAAGCTACATTTAAATGTTGTTAATTATGTTAATTGTCTTTTTTCGATCTTGAAAGATCCCATGATGTTGTGAGCCCTGGGTGAGCGGGCCATGGTCCTTTCTGGTATCCCTTAATCCATTATGTTGCGATATAGTGCCTAGTTAATATTTACTTATTTGTACAAACACTGAAGCCAAAAGTCAATACAAATACAAAATACAAATTGAATTATATCAGAGACGATTCTACAAAAAATGTTTAGAGGGGTGTTGAACAAATGTTTGATACACAACATTGATGTAGAAGATGAAAAGTAACAAGAAATAGTTTCATGGTTTGTATCACTTTTGATAAACAAAAGCAGATATCCAAAAGTCAAGAAATTTAACAGCATAATATAAATGTTTTTAATTTACCACTTAATAATGTCATTAAAAAAAGGTATAATCTATACTCTATACCGTTGATTTAAAATTTAAACACTGGTTTAGGAACCAAACTATTCAATATTATCACTTTTTTATAATACCAATTTGAGTGTTTTCACATATTAATCGTAATTAAAAACCAACTTTTATATTGTAAGTTATTGTCCATTTTAAGTGACTCTCGTCTCTAAGTGTCATACAAAACCTCAAAATTGTTTATAATACCAGTCACAACGGATTAACAACAATATATATATTCAAAAATCTATCTGAAACCCTTGGGACTTAATTTGAATCAATCACCTACATTCTAAATTATATATTACAATCAGATTTATATTTATTATTCATAAAAAAAATTGTTTATAAAATTTGTCTATCTTTTTTGTTTAACTTTTCTATTTCAAATGTATAGCCTACTGTATTCAATTATGTATGTCAACTAATTAAACATAACCCTTACAATGCCCTTGCTAAAGGTTTTTATCCAATAATTAAAAGAAAGATGTACTGTAAATTAAAATGTGCAATTAATAATAAAGAATACCCTATAAAACGTAATTAATGAATTTAATATATTAAATTCATTATGTACAATAACCCGGTTCTGTCTTTAAATTTATCAGTAGTTACTCAAAAACTTTTGTGTAGAGTTGGATTTAGTTGCGGAATGGACAGTGTTCGGCCCATTACAGAAATTAACTCATTCGGCCCACAATACAGTTCTAGCGACAACTATATTTTAATAGTAATTTGTAATTTCCCTGTTTGTACACCAAACGAGTTCCAAATCTAAGACATACAAATACTGACAATAATATATAATATATTTTCATTATACAATCATAGAATTCACGGAATAGTCGGTGCCCGGTGGTCAAGTATTCTTATCATGTATAGTCGAAGTAAAATACTTTCGTGGTATCACAATATCGAGTTAACTGTTGTATGATTCATTTAATTACTTTACGATGTCGGAGTATGTTAAATTCGGACTAACCGTCTAATCGTAGCAATTGTATATTCGAAGTAGATTATATTCGTGGCAAATGACTGATAAAGCAATGTCGGAGTAACTACAAGTCGTGGCATGCAACATTCGTGGTAACTGTAGCAACCCGTTTTATTTGTTGATAGTACAACTGGTTATCATATTGGTTACCACCACGATTCATGTTTGGTTACTAATCCAAGGCTACCGCGGTCAATATCGGTAACAAAATAAATGATAACAAAGTCCGCTCAATAAGTGATAACAAACTTGTTTGTTATCACTTAGCTCAGTTCTATGTATTGTGAAAATATGGTAATTTCTCAATTTTCTGTGAATATTGTTGAACTATTTGTATCTGCGCGAATTTCTCTACCGCACTCCACCTGCCATCAAACCCTTCGACCTTAGGTACAACTTAAAAAATAATTATTCAAATCTGGTTATCGACAGTCAAAATTTTCAGCAAATTATTCTCAATAAAATGGCTATCTTGAATTTAAAAAAGTAAAATAGTTAAGTGCAATAAAAACATGGTGCTTATAACGCAATTAAGTATACATATATTTTTAAATAAATATTTTTTTCCCAAACTTGTACAAGTTGCCATTATATTGGCAATTGGCTCTGCATCATCTGATCGTGCATTTTCTGCCATGGGGCGAATAAATACCTACTTAAGATCAACAATGGACCAAGATCGCTTCAGTAATTTATCGATACTGAGTATTGAAAAAGACTTATTCGCCTTAATTTATAGGTTAAATAATATATTTAACATTTTGACTAATTGTGTTCGAAAAATATCAGAAATAATTGAAATATTGGACAATAATTTCATAAAACGCTAGTAAAAATTGTTTATTTCTAACGAAATATTTTATCAGCCTTACGTGTATTTTAGATTTATAATATTATGTGCTGTTATTGTTAAAATAACATTGCCATTTGCGTCATACTTTAAAAACTCTGTTTCTATATAGTTTGAATAACATTTGTTAAATAATGTTTTCTTTACTCATTTGAATATTTTTATGACCATGAGGCATGAAGTTTCCAAAATTAGTAATTGTAAATGTTTTTAACAAGAGTAACAAAAATTAGAATAATTAAAAAAAAAGTGTCTTATTCTTAATGAATCATCTGTATTCAACATAAAACATATATTTGATATATCTAAACCATTGATTTACATACTACCCTTCTACACAGAAAAAATATATAGTTGGTCTAACTAACATTTTGTTAAGTAAAGTGACACATATATATCTGGTGGAATATTTAAATAAATAGTTGGCCCAACTAAATGTTAATAGGACAAAATTTTTAATAACTCAGTCCAACTAGAAATATTTTGTGCCCTTATAGTAACCATAGTTTTTGTTGGACCAACTTTGTATTTTTTTAGGAGTAACTTATTCTCCTTAATTTATAGGTTATTTTTTTTTTTAATCTTAATCTTTGACTTTTATTGAAAAACATACAATCTGTAAATTATATTTTATAATGAGTATTTATATAAACTATTTACAATAAACTATACACATGATTAACACAAGGAGGAAACCCCACATTAAGGGCACCTTAATGAATATAAAGATAAATTAGTGTCTTAAATCGCGGCACCATCTTCTTTTGAGGCGTCTGGGGGGATTTCCAGGGAGGTTTTCAGCTGATAACTGCACAATAAGTTGGTTTGAGCTTGAGCCCAGTTTTGAGTGAAAGCGGTTGTAATACACCCCGGCGATCTCGTTTACCGATTGAAGATTAAGATCCCGCTTTAGTGTTTGGGGCAGTTCTTCCAAAAAATGATAAGAGATAAGAGTTCTTCCAAAAGATAACACAATTTTTATTTTATCAGCGTGACCCACCCAGAAACACCAAAATATAAAATCACATTCTATCAGTCTGCCAATTCTATCAGAATAAAAGTAATTAAAATATAACTAACGTTTGTCAGAGTTGACTGTTATCTCTAGAACTAAACGGCAATAATTCAAATGATAAAAAAAATAACCGTGTTAAAATATATTATACTTTCTTAAATAGTACACATTTTTACGATACATTTATAATGACAAAAAACCAACTAGTTCATATGACGACAACGATAATTATTGGTAAATAAAATTTACTTTCGTTTCTTATTAATATTAAATGAATATTTTTATTAGAATTCTTTTTTAATTCATAATTCAAAACTCTTATTTTCACATAATATAAACTTGCAATATTTAATATGAATAACATAAAATATTTATCAATTATAGTACCTAGCGACAAAGTTCATACATACACTATATTGTACTAATTTGTGTGACAATATTATCACATCCTATTTAAATAAAACTATTAATACAAGTAAATTATGTTTTACAGTATGTTGGTAGTTGTCTGAAGTCATAAAAAGCTTATCGGTATGCTTATTCATTAGAGCGGTTCGATTCCTGAAACTATCTCTAGTCTGATTAAGTGTGGTAACAGGTATGGAGTTATTTTTTGTAAAATTGTTTTAATTGATTTAATCTCTATTATTTTAATAATTAACATTTCAACTTTTAACTTATTTATTAATAATATATCTTTCAGTTTTAAGATGAGTCAAAGATGATGGTTGACAGTTCTCCATTGACACTAACTGGAAGAAATGATTGTTTTATCATTTGTCTAAATAGACTAGGTAAGGAAAACACTCTAGATTTGTAGTATTAATAAAAATATCGATACAATAGTAGTTTAATATCAATCTAAAATAACCTAATGTAGGGTATTTAAAAAAAAAGAAATCAAATGTAAGTTATCATTCTTTTTAATAATTTAATTTACTATTTTCTAACATTGTTAGTTTTTGTACAAGAATAATTGCATTTACTTGTAGATCTTACACTTCATTGGTATGAGATAACAAACTAGGTCAACTTGATGTATACCGGTCACAAATATAGTCTATTCATGAAATCACTCTTCTAGGTGTTACTGATAGATAATTTAAGTTAAATGGTATAAAAAAATGTCATTATCAATTTTCATTATATTTAATTTTAACTTCACAATTAACAAACGATAACATTAGTAAATCATTTAAAATTGGTTTTATATTATAATTATTATTATTATTATTTAACCATTTGTTGTTTTTTCAGCTAGAATGTGACCAGAGGAAGATTAAATGGACATATCATATATTTCTCCATGGACACTGTAGTAATCCATAGACTGACTTTTGACACTATATTTGAATATTTGTTGTTGACGTTAATTGGATTTTGTGCTAAACCCCTGGAAGAATATTCTGTATCAGACTAACAGTATAAACGCCACCCAGTAATTCTGTTTACCTGCTGTTAGACATCGTAGTACCATCTCCAATCTCTTTATATGTTTAATTTTATTTAAAAAAGTCTTATTATAATTTATTATTAATCAAGTGTAATTCAGTTGATTATTTATTGAATAACTTATTATCCTGTCTTCAATGTCTATATAAACTGTACTGTATTTATGACCACTACACTGATATCTCATTTGGCTAAATATTTTTAATTTTCAACTACATTAAAACAAAATTAAGATTGTTTAAATTTTTTTTTTGAATATTTGTATTATTGTTTGAATATTTTTACACTTTGAGTGTCAATACAAGTATCTTATAATATTCTAGATTTAAAACTGTATTAGTTTAAAGATACTAACAGTATATTACTATTACAATTTTGACAAACATAATTATTAGCCTACCAAACTAATTATAAATGTAGTTTCTGTATTTACTTATTTATTAATATTTACTTACCTTAATAACATTAAAATATTAATTTATTGTAAAAATATCTTGACCTAACTGAAAGATTGAAAATTTGTAAACTGTTGTGAAATTATGTCGATGTCGTTAGGAAAAAATGTGTAGTCAATATGTTGAATACCTAGATTAAAAAAAAACGGTACAATTTTTTTTTTGCTAAAACAAGTAATTATACATTTGTAAATTTTGATGTTTAGTTTATAAAATATACTTTTTTTAATTAAAAAATATCTTTACTTAAGTATCATAAAAAAATGTTTTATTTTAATCAATGTCAATTCACTGATTAGTATATTATGTATTAAACAATTGAATATTTCTACATATTTTATACTATTTACCAGATTATTTTATGTGTCTTAAACTATTACATTTATTATTTCTATTATTACTATTTATTGTTTATTTAAAATAACTTATCAAACTTTATAAATTATAAAATTGGTCTGAAATGTATACTGTGTTACTATAAGTAGCCTGTTAGACAGGAAGTCTATATTGTTTTTTAGAAATAAAAGTTGTCTTTTCTTGGTTAGCTTAATTATACAGTGTGATTCACTAATTTTCTCTCATAATAATTTCAATAAGGCAAAATTATTTTTCAAAACATTTTTGTTTGCGTTATTTTACAACTGAAAACATATTTTAGTAACCACTTACTTTTTTGATAATTTTATATTAAATAATATTTAATTATAATAAAAGATTCAAAGCTTATTTAGTATATTGTATATATTTTTTATAATTTTATTATATAGAAATGCATTTGTTTTTAGATGTAGTTTTTGACACAATAAAGTAAAAGTAAACCAAATGTATTTTTTCTAAAACTGTTCTCATAGACACGTTTACTCTCGATAGCCAGTGATTTGTATGTGTGTACTGTATTAAGTGATTTTATATAATGCGTTCAAATGAAGGATGTTTAACATATTGAATACTCTCTTTGTTTGAGTATACAATAATGTGTTCGATATAAATTGTGTTATAAAGTCCAGACACCGTTATCTTTATTTATATGCAGAGTATAATACAGTTAATAATTATAGATTCTACAAATAAATAATAAATTAGCCTTAGTAAGTTTAACCCTTCACTGCATGAATTTTTTTTAACCATATGCTATAATGTACTTAATACTACATAAAAAAATTAAAAAAATTTTTTTTGAGTTTTGGTTTTATGGAAAACGCTAATTAAAGAATTTGGAACATTATGGAACATTGTGCATACAAAGATGTATAGCATAAGCAGATATAAACAATAAATACAATTATTGTTCCATATATGGGACATTATGCCGTGAAGGGTTAACAATACCTGCTATTGTCTAATAACTATAAATATATTTAAATAATGTCTTGATAATAATTGAATAGTTTTATAACATATTCAATATTTTTGATATTTTCATTTAAGTCAGTTATCAATGAATCAAGGTTTATAACTATTTTCTTTTTAATAGTAACGCAGTTATATCTTATATGAATCATAATTCATGAAACACAATTTTGTATCTCTACATGGTTTTGACCTCTAAACTTTAAGTTATCCAGATTAAAATATTTTTGAATATTGAAAACCATATGCTCAGTTTTATTCAAATTCAACTGTAAGAAACTCGTAAAACCATGTAAATATGTTTTAATAACTAAATATTATATTACCTACTTCATTATTTGGGATTTAATGATTTTTCAAATATTTTTGATAGAGACAGTGATTACGATATTGGTTTATAATGGCTACAGTCTAGTAATTATAACTAGAGCTCTAGTAATTATAATTACCGACTGAAATAATAGATATTATTACTGAACAATTATTTATTTCCCGTTTTGTGTATAGGAATGAAGTCACATTTGATAAAACTATTGGGGCACTTACCTGAAGATAATGATAAATAAAATACCTACAACTTTTATACTTTTCATTGTTAAGTACAACTGTTAAACAGTATAAGGTTAGAATTATCTTCTACTAGTTTGCTGTTTGATCTAGTACTTCTAACCAAAACTATGGGGGTATAAGATATTCCTAACAAAATTATACCTTTTTTAATGATAAATAAAAATGGGATTATCTAATCTGTTTTTAAATGTTTACTTAGTTAAAATTGAGTTAACCTGATCGCTTGATATCCAACCTTTTAATTTCTGATTTGATAATTTTATTATATACATATTAGTGGAATTGGAAATAGCCTCATTAATTTTCCCATTAAATATGTCCATAGCTACGTCTATATCATTTAAATTTTCACAACTTGACCAATCTTAAGTATATATTAACATACTTAAATCAGTCGTATTATAATTTATTAAACTTTTTGTAGGCAAAAAGAGCTTTAATAGCAGATTTCGATGAGAACGAGATAAGAGATAAATAAATATGATGGGATGCTGCAACTTGCAATTGTATCTATTTATTTTATAATATGTATTATTTCTATTTTTTATTTTTATAATATAAGAAAAGTATAAATTTCTTAATAAATGGAATGTAGACAGTTTTTGTGTGGTATCAAAACTTTAAGTTCGTCGTAGAGACTTGGTTATCGCTAAGTAAATGGCCATTTTAATGAAAAAGTACATAGATTAATAAAATATGGGCTATGCAATCTTCTAACAAATATGGATATTTTCAAATCAAGAGATAATTGTAAATTTGCAAATTTATATTGACCAAAAATTGAATCATATTTTTAAATCATATGAATAACTTTTACTGAACAAATTCATATTGTTTAGTTTGGTTTCTTTAATAAAAATATATACCCAGAGTAGCTTAATCTAAACTAATTTCTGTAAAATATGAAGTGAATGATAATTATTTTAAAAACCTACTAATAGATTATAAATAACATTCAGTCCTGCAAGGTATTTTAATACAGACATTTAAAATACGTTATTTGGTATTGGATACTATTTTTGATAATTCGTTATTAATTATTTAATTATTAAAAATATATAATTTGTATGGTACGGGATACTATTTAGTTAATTTTCCTTTTTTTTTTTTTAAATTCAGTAAGATAATCAGTCTGATTTGATGATCTCACCAACATAAAAGCAAGATTACATTAAATTACATTATATATTTATTAAGTATGACGTTTATACGATTATGACCCTAGTTTGATCATTTTTATTATTATAACAGAATTGTTTAATCTAGTTTACAATAATTTTATATTATGCAATATTCTTATTATCTACCTATTATCCCATGCAAAAGGGCCGTACAACAATTTTTTTTCTCATCACAAGTCTTTATCCGGCAATAGGTTCACTTTGGACTATAAGTTTATAATGTATATATTGATTTGTTTAGAAACTTGAAAATTAAATATGTTTTATTCTAGTTATTTATGTGAGGTATTTAAACTACAAGTGTCAAATGTTCCGTTTTCCTTGCTTTAATATATCCTTTAGGTACCAAATTTTGTTAATAATATATCTTCTAAAAGACAAGATTGAAGACAAAGCGCATAAGCTCCTACCTGTATTCTTTAACTACAGAATACATATGTAAGATGTGGTAAAACTAATTTATACTTGACAGCCAATTTAAAATCGTCAACTAATTTAGGTAAAAAGTAAAAATAATGTTTTATTTAGATAGTAATATAAACAATTTGTGGGAAATTTCAATAAAATTATTATTATTTTATACCAAATAATATTAAATTATAACATATACTTATAAGTTATGTATATACACTTATACAATGTAATTTTTAATGAATTTTACATTATATAATTTTACGTGTATAGTGAATACGATTAATTAGAGAATTGATAAATATCTAACTACAATTTGCAATAAAGATAAGAACCTAACTAAAGGCAATGTTTTTGATATTAAAATACGAAATTTCTCTTGGCGGGTTTTTGGTAAAATCGATGTTGGTACTATCTGTAGTATTACACATTTTATAGGTTATGTAACATTTATTTCTTATCACGCGTTATCATTTTTTGGAAGAACTACCCCAATTCCCCGCTTTAGAGTGTCATTTGTAACAAACCATGGAGCATCGGTGATTAAACGCATACAAATATTTTGGAAAGCCTGAATATTTTTTATAATTGAGGATTTCGCTGACCCCCAGTAATTTATAGGTTAAATAATATATTTAAAATTTTGACTTATTGCGTTCGAAAAATATCATGAATATTTGTAATATTGGACAATAATTTCATGCAACGATAACCAACATTTTGTTTTGCTAACGAAATGTTTTATCAGCCTTAGGTGTTTTTTAAATACACTGTTGATATTTGCCAAATAACATTGCCATTTGCGTTATACTTTAGTTACTCAGTTTCTATATAGTTCGAAAAACATTTGTTAAATAATGTATATGATATTTATTGAATATTTTTTTGATACACAAGATTCCATAATATATTATATTAGTAATTGTTAATGTATTAAGAGGAAAACTAAAAATTAGTATAATTTCAGAAAAAAACGTGTCTTATCCTTAATGAATCATCCGTATTCAACATTAAACATATATTTAATATATCTATATATTAATACATATTTATATAATATTTTGATGGAACATTGTATTGTCATCCAAAATTAGTGTCTGGGTTAAATTTCAGCCTTCTATGATATCAGAAAGTGGGTTAAATTCATTTTGGAAGATTTAAAAAAATATACAATTTTAGTGAAATGACCCCCACATGTGACACCCTGTGTAGGGCGACCTGTATGTCCGAGTCCCAATATAATTACGGGATATGGTATTGTCATCCAAGATGAGTGCCTGTGCCAAGTTTCAGCCCTCTACGACATCGGGAAGTGGGTTAAATTAATTAATTTTGCAAGATTTGAAAATACTAGAACAAACGTACGTACGTGTTAGCGAGTTAAAGAAAAGCATGTAAATAAAAATTGACCATCACGGTAGACTTAATCATCCCGGAAGTAAATAAAAAACTAGTTAATTTAATGTTCGATTTAATCAAATTAAATTAAAACATTAAATAACATTATTTTAGTCAAGAAAATATTTTAGTCTAAGTTGCTAGAAAACTTTTTTGATCAAAAATTTAACATATACACCTTAAATTTTAGCAAATTTTTATCAAACCATTACAACATTTTTATGGACATACTTTTAAGTTTTGACACTCAAGTACCATTTTTAGGTTTTAATTAAATAAAAAATTACATTTTTTTTACTTAAGTTTTTTTAGCTGAGTAAAGTTGAAAACTGATATTAAACTCGCAATTACCGACCCCAAAAACATAATTTGACCACTTTTGAACTCTTTTACACAAAAATCCAGAAAAATGTTTTAGCTTCGATGTGGTTAGCGTTGCATGGAATTATTGTTCAATATTTTAAATATTCCTATGTTATTTTAATTGCCGGAAAACTTTAAATACCTTAAATTTAAAAATGTTTTCATCAAATCATTACAACATTTTTATGGACATGTATTCAGAATGATACTATTAAGTTTTGATACTAAAGAACCATTTTTAGGTTTTAATTAAATTTTTTTTTTTACTAAGTTTAAGTAAAATTGAAAACTGATATTGAATTCTCATTCACTGACCCCAAAAACATATAATTTGACCACGTTTGAACTCTTTTACACAAAAATCCAGTTTTCTTCTTCACAGTTAA